CGCTCGGTAGGCCCGCGACGAGACGAGACGACAGCGGAACGTGCACGACGTTACCGGCGAGACCAGCCCGGACACGGAGCCCTTCGAACGTGTAAACGCCTCGCCACGCCTGCTTTTGCCCGCACGCTCACTGACACCGTGACACTCACTGCTAGCCGCTAGCCAGCCCAACGCGCCGCGCACTGCCGCTCACTCAGCTCCGCTCAGCTCAGCTCCAGCCACCAGCACTCCTCGGAGGCTCAACCGACTCTGCCCTGCTCGGGCTGCCCTTCTCCAACGCGGGACGGGGCCGAGCCGAGCCGAGCGCGGGGACCGAGCGCAGCCGGGACAGCCGGGGCCCTGGCCGCGCTGCCTGCAATGGACTTTATTGAACCTTTCCAGGCCGGGCTGCTGACGTCACACTGCGTCACGGCCCAGAGCTCGCTCGCTTCGGCTCGGTTCGGCTGCCGTCGGCGCCCTTCGCTCGCCGACTCGGCGGCCGCTCGGGGCGAGCTCGGCTGGCCCCGGCTCGGCAACGGCTCCGCTCGGCTCGGGCCGGCTCGGCTCGGCCCGCGCGAGGGGGAGCGGCCCGCCTCGCCTGTGCCGTCGCGGGCCCGCCTGAGGGGTGGATGGGGGTGGCGCCCCCGCGGTGGGGGTGGGGGAGGCGAAGGGTGGCGAGGAGAGAGTGAGTGCTGCCTCCTCTTCGACCCGACGTTTCTCCTTCCTTGCAGCCCTTCCCCCCCGCTCATGCCATCTCTCTTCGCCGCTCGGCGCCCCGCCTCTGTCTCGTTCTTCCTTCCTTAGCGTCTGCCGGCAGACAGAGCATCATTTATTCCCCTCGTCCTGATGGCGCATTCACAGGTAATTGGCTGAGCAGTACGAAGTGTGCGGTGCGGTACGAACGGCCGGAAGAATAGGGGGGGGGGATTAGTTATCCTTCATTCTGTTACACACACGAGACGAGACTCGCGCCGAGCACTATACGCACTCAAACACGCCCCCTTTCAGCACACATTTTATCCACTACGATTCGCGTTCTTACATTTTGACACTGTGGGGCTTGCCATTATTCTTTGATAAAATAACGGATGGAAATGGTCGTCCGCGCGCGTGCAGATCAAATTTGTGGGCCGGACGCGGACGCCCCGCTGTGCTCGATCAGCCGAGCCGTTGGCGACAAAGAGTCAAAGGTCACGCGGCCCTTAGAGTCCTCCCTCGCCGCGCGTCCCCAACTTCCCCAACCCCCCGGCCCCATGGAGGCTGTGTCGCCCCGCCCCGCCCGCACCCCGCGCGGCGCCCTCCCCGACCTTGAAACACGTTGCGAGCGAACGGTGCTGGGGCTGTGGGGCCCAGTGACCAGCACGCAGCCAAGCCCATGCCAGTTAGGGCGTCGCTGAAAAAGAAAGGCGGAATATTTATGATGAGAAAACCCACCCGTAGCAGAGAGCAAAGCCCACACCTTTCATTTGTAAAAAAAATTGTGTGTTCTAATCTACAAGCACAAGGTGGTCCACTTGGTGGCCGACAATAGAAGCGGTTGTTCGGTGGTCAGACAGTCTGTATTACTCGCGGGAGGACCTGTGCAGTGAGACTGGCACAAAGATCTGCGATGGGGTATTTCAGTGAATCCGGCGGCCGGAAGTAAGAGGGAAAATGGAATCAAAAATTAGCGCGACCAGCAGTCGAATAGTGAGCCGTCGGGATATGGATCAGTTAGTTCCGCCCGCAAAAGCTCTCCGGCCAAGCTTGTGCGTGTATTACTGTACTCAATCGGCGGTGTGCGTTGCGTGCAGGGCCACCCCGGCCGGCACGTCGGCGTCGGGGACGGTGAGAGCACCCCGCCCCGCCACACCCCGCCACGCTCCACCACCGCGCTCTGCGGACAGTTTGGGGTGCGGGAAACGACTCGCTGTTTGAGAACAGCAATATGTGCGAAAATAATCAGGCCGTTGGTTCGTGCATTACGTTTTCTTTTAGTACAATCTCATGTTTGGCGAGAGGGAGGGGGAGGGGGGGAGAGAGAGAGAGAGAGAGAGAGAG